AGTATGATTGCTTTACAATGGTGTGTTAGTTTCTGCTTTATAACAAAGTGAATCAGTCATACGTATACATATGTTCCCATATCTCTTCCCTCTTGCGTCTCCCTCCCTCCCACCCTCCCTATCCCACCCCTCTAGGTGGTCACAAAGCACCAAGCTGATCTCCCTGTGCTATGGGCTGCTTCCCACTAGCTATCTACCTTACATGTGGTAGTGTATATATGTCCATGCCTCTCTCTCGCTTTGTCACAGCTTACCCTTCCCCCTCCCCATATCCTTAAGTCCATTCTCTAGTAGGTCTGTGTCTTTATTCCTGTCTTACCCCTAGGTTCTTCATGACATTTTTTTCCTTAAATTCCATATATATATATGTGTTAGCATATGGTATTTGTCTTTCTCTCTTTACTTTTTAAGAGTTGCAATTAGATATTAATACCTCCCCCTTTTTTAAAATTTCATTTCCTGTCTTCAAGCAGTTTGGTTTGTGTGTGTGTGTGTGTGTGTGTGTGTTTAATCTATGTATTTATTTATTTTTGGCTGTGTTGGCTCTTCATTTCTGTGCAAGGGTTTTCTCTAGTTGCGGCGAGTGGCGGTCCACTCTTAATCACGGTGCTTGGGCCTCACTGTCGCGGCCTCTCTTGCTGCAGAGCACAGGCTCCAGACGCGCAGGCTCAGCAGCTGTGGCTCACGGGCCCAGCCGCTCCGCGGCATGTGGGATCCTCCCAGACCAGGGCCCGAACCCGTGTCCCCTGCACCTGCAGGGGGACTCAACCACTGCGCCACCAGGGCAGCCCTAAGCTATTAACTTCTGATTGAAGTATTTTCAGGGTTTGCATAGCAGTATTGAACTCTTCTTCCATTACTGCAGAGAGATTGCTTTTTCCAATTCATAATCTTTAAAGCTTGGGAATAAGACCCTCAGTGCTGAAAAGACATTGGGACTGTGATACGCAGCAGATTCCCTGTGATTTCTCGGCAAGCATGTTTATGTGGCACAACTTTATAAACAAAGGAACTCATGTTTGTAATTTGGCTGGCATTTAGGGTGGAGTATTTGGTGACAGAAGGAGACTGGTATCCAAATCCACATGGTCCTGACAATCAGGAATCCTTTATACATTTGGTTGTCACATAAAATAAAAAGACTAGAGTGGTTTACAGACAAGGTTAGAATGGAAGCTGTAATTCCCAGGGTCTGGGGTATTCCATGACTTTTGCCAGCGGTGCTGTAGTGTCCAAACGCCTCCATTCTCCATGCGCTCCTGTCGACATGTGAGAGTGAAACAGATTGCAAAATAGCTGATATAGGAGGTCTGTTGTCTGGTTTTGGCAGCTGTAAAGCTTATTTCTGTCACCTAACGAAAGTAAGTCCAGATTTTTGATCCACTCATATATAGTTTGTGGTTTGGGGCAGCTTAATCATGGGGGCAGCTGCAATATCCTAAATTGTACAAGGGTGACTTCTGAGACATCTGGAACATGTGGTGATTTGGCAGACATTTGTTCCCAAAATGGTGGTACTAGAGTCATTTGCAATTTCCTTGAGAGGTTTAAAGATGTCACCTATGGAATCAAACCACAGAATTTGATTTGCAATACTGTCCTGGTATGTCACCCAAGAAAGGTCCAGTGTCATGTTTGCCTTTAATGCAAAGGGGAAATTTTTCACCTATTTATCTGGGTAAGGGACAGTCTTTGGGCTTCTACAGATTTTTTTCTGGGGCCCAAATGACTCACTAAAAGAAGATGCAGAGTGATGATTTTCTTGTCATGGATATTTCCCCTGCCAACTCATCCATCTTACGTACTTAGCCCACCACGTTCACATCAGCAGG